CAGACGCCAACAAAGAAGAAATGAGGATGAGATTAAACAGGATACAACAGTGGAATGAACCTGCAATCAGGTTCGCAGAGGATATCCTTGTACTGTGCAACAAGGTCGACCCCCAAATGGAAGAAGAGACTAAAATAAACTGGGTTATTGGAGGGTTAAAGAAAGAATACTCTTTTTCCCTTCACCTAAACCCTCCTAAAAATACCAATGAACTTCTAGAAATTTGTAAAAAGCTGGATTTGTTCGAAAAGAATTACCAAGAACGTGCAGAAAAATCAAAAGCTCTTTATAATGGACCACGCTCTCCTCGTCCCCATCATCAAGAGCAATGGAAGAATGCTACGTCGTTCAGAAGACCATATCAGAACACCTCCAAGCCCCAGGCCCCCGCTCCGAGGTACTACCAGAACACCTCCAAGCCCCAGGCCCCCACTCCGAGGTATTACCAGAACAAGCCTCTGCCCTCAGGCCCCTAGACGATCTTACACTCCCAATCCTGAGCCAAAACCGGTCTACCCAAGTAAAACATACAATAAGAATCCAAATTCAAATAGGAATAGGACAGAAGACGGGAGACCAATATGTTTCAAGTGTAACAAGCCAGGACATGTAGCGCGGTATTGCAGAGTCAGGTTTGTAAGAATTGTGGAAGAGGACCCCATAGTTACACAAGACAAGGTCGAAGAAGAAATCCGAATGGATAATGGAACTCAGAAGTCGAGACCTCTGCTCTACTCTGACGTAAGTAATAGCCCGTACTCGAGTATCCCTACAAGGAATAGATATGCTGCATTAGAAGATTTAAACTAAACATCGCGCCTGAGTCCGTCAATCAAAGCAAGTCGACCATAAATGGAATTAAAAAGTTAGACCCCAAATATAAAATGAACATTAACGTGGATAGAATCGGTATCTGCGAAGCTTTGATTGATACAGGCGCCGATCTTTCAGTGGTCGACCTTAGTACAGCTCTTAACACAGGTCTTGAAATAATAAATCCTGATAAAATGTGCTCCGGACCCGATGGCAAAGAATTAGATATCGTAGGAAATATTATTTTAAATATAAAATTTGATGACAAAACAATTACACATCAATTTGTGATAATGAGAACACATTTGCGAATATTTATACTTGGACGTGATTTTCTTAAGAAAATGAACGCAAAAATTGATTGTCAGCGTGAAATAATCAAATATGACTTGACAGAAAATCGTGACGTAATCAAATATCAACAGAAGAAAATAAAAAGTGCAAAGGATGCCATTATACCAGAACTTTCTATTAAATTAATTAATGCATTTGTAGAAGCAGAGGATGGCGAATACATCATCGAGGAGAACCATAAAATGTTTCAAACAAATGGACTTCGACTAGCGAGAAGCTTAATAAATGTTGTGAATAAGGAAACATATATCTGGATAACAAACCCTTACCCTCGACCATTAAAAATATTAAAAAACCAAACATTGTGCTTTGGAAGCCAGCCAGCCGAAGTGAATCTTATGGAAGAAAGTGAACAAAAAGAGCATGAAGAACCCCAACTTCAGATAAACGAAAATTTAGCATATACGGAAAAGAAGCAATTGAAACAAGTTTTGGAAAGGTACGAGGATTTGTTTTCGTCGGGATTAGGAAGATCCAACTTAGCGAAACATCGGATCGATACAGAAGGCGCGAAACCGATCAAACACAAGCCGTATAGGGTGAGCGCGAAAGAGCGAGAAATCATAAAAGAACAAATTGATGAAATGCTCAGAGACGGCATAATTAGACCATCCTCGAGTCCATGGTCCTTCCCTGTAATCTTGGTCAAGAAGCGAGATGGTAAGTACAGATTTTGCGTTGACTACAGAAAATTGAATGATGTAACAGTGAAGGATGTTTACCCAATTCCCAGAATTGATGAAGTATTGGATACACTTCAAGGATCCAAATACTTTTCAGCAATTGACCTTAAATCAGGATATTGGCAAGTAGAGGTTGAGGAGAAAGATAAAGAAAAGACAGCCTTCACTACAGCACATGGCCTATATGAGTTCAACGTAATGCCCTTTGGTCTATGCAATGCCCCTGCTACATTTGAGAGGAACATGGAAAATATGCTTGGTAATCTTAGATGGCAAATTTGCTTATGTTATCTAGATGACGTAATCATTTATAGCTCGGATTTTTCAACACATCTCAAAAGAATAGAAGCTGTTTTAAAATGTTTTCGCGAGGCTAATTTAAAATTGAACAACAAAAAATGCAAATTTGCTTTCGAAGAACTGGAGATTCTTGGCCATATAACTAATCAACATGGTATAAAACCAGCGGAGCATAATATCAAGGCTATTAGAGATTTTCCTCGGCCCAAAAAGATAAAAGAAGTTCAATCATTTTTAGGAATGTGCTCATATTATAGAAAATTTATCAAAGGTTTTTCAAAAATTGCCGATCCATTAACCAGTCTTATAAAAAAGAATGTACCTTTTACCTGGACAGAAAATCAAGAAAAAGCATTTCAAACCCTTAAAGTAGCATTGATAAATCCTCCAATCTTAGGGCACTTTGACCCGAATGCAATTACTTACATTCATACTGACGCATCTAACATCGGCCTGGGTGCAACATTAGTCCAAAAGTTCGGCGATAAAGAAAAAGTTATCTCATATTTAAGTCGAACACTGAGCAAACCTGAGCAAAATTATTCGACTACCGAAAAAGAATGTCTAGCTGTTGTGTGGTCAATGTCCAAGTTACGACCCTACCTATATGGAAGGCACTTCAAAATCGTAACTGATCATCACGCACTATGCTGGCTTAAGAATCTGAAAGATCCGACCGGCCGATTAGCACGATGGGCACTGAAGATTCAGGAATATAATTTCGAAATCATACATAAATCGGGTAAAAAACATCTGGACGCTGATGGTCTATCTAGAGGACCCTTACCTGAAAACGAATGGGACGAAGATTATGAAAGACTATTTCTGAATCAAATAATAGACGAAAAGGATGATTTTATTGAGAATATTAAGGAGAACCTTAGTGGAAACAAGCGTTCAATTACACAGAACTTCAAAGAAGAAAATGGGTGTCTCTACAAGAAAAATCCAAATCCTGAAGGTAGGGCATGGTTGCTGGTAGTGCCAAAGAAGAGAAGGAAGGAAGTCATGAGTGAATACCACAACCATATGCTGAATGGCCATCTGGGCGTCGCCAGAACCACTTACCGATTGAAGAATAAATACTATTGGCCTTCCATGTTGAAAGATGTTTCAGAATTTGTAAAGACGTGCCATCTTTGCCAAAGTCGGAAAGGTTCAAATCACTTGCCTTCTGGACTTCTACAACCTATTCCCCCAGCTAACTACCCTTTTGAAAGAATCGGAATTGACTTTGTTGGCCCCTTGCCATCAACGAAAAGAAGAAGGAAGTGGATAATTGTGTTGACTGATTATTATACCAAGTATGCTGAAACAAAGGCAGTATCAGAAGCAACCGTGAAAGAAGTCTCTACATTTTTAATCGAACATATTATTTTACGTCACGGGGCCCCAAGATTTCTTATTAGCGATAGAGGTTCACAATTCACTAGCAATTTGATGAAGGAGGTAATGAAAATGTGCAAAGTGAAACACTGCTTCACAACGAGCTACCACCCCCAGACTAACGGACTAACGGAACGGCTAAATAGAACTTTAATCAATATGATCAGCATGTATGTGAACACAGACCAAAAGAACTGGGATAAAATCCTCCCTTTTATCACCCACGCGTATAATACCACGATTCAAGAAACCACAGGCTACTCTCCATTTTTCCTGTTGTTTGGAAGGGAACCCATGTCCCTCTTAGACGACGAGAATATCCCAACGGACAGTAACATGGACGATTACGACGAATATATAGAAAACTACTTAGATAAAATAGCAAGGACGAGACAGGTAGTCATTAACAACACAGAGAAGACTCAGGAAAGAATGAAAAGAAACTATGACAAAAAACACAATGAGAAAATCTATGAACCAGGACATTTAGTGGCAGTTTGGACACCAGTCAGGAAAATCGGAAAATGCGAAAAACTATTGAGAAAATATTTTGGCCCATATCGAATATTAAAGAAGCTGTCTAACGTAAATTACTTAATTGAGCCGAAAGATAATCCTGGCCAAGACCCATTGATTGTCCATGTCTCAAGACTCAAACCCTATTTTGAGAGAATTGATGAGGTAACTCACGAGGACGTGACGACCTCTGGAGAGGGGGAAGTGTTACATCATGATTAATGGCGTATTTATTATATTATTTTTAATATATTTGAAATTTGAATTATATATTTATTTATTTTTATATTCTATGATATTTATTTAAAACAGATTGTTTTTAGATTATCATCATTTGTATTTAGGTACACTGTGACTTCACTGCTCTCTTTGATGTGAGAAAATAAATAAATGATTCTGGTGGTTACATAAAGTAGACTTATCTCATTATTCCCTTTTATAAATTTGTAGGATGGTTGAAACACGCTCTGGTAAGATGCAAGACCCAGCACAGGAGAGAATCAAGGCTGAAGAGTCTGCCAAGCCGCAACCCGGTGCAACAATATATGATTTCTATATATAATTCATAATAATAATTGGTCTTTTTCTTTCTTATATCCACACAATCATATTAGGATATCAAGTTGTGACCCTTGATGGTGTCTGTTTTACAACCATCATTTTTTTTGCTTATCCCTAGTACACATGGTACAGGCCATGATAATCATGGTGGGTAGTTAGCGACTGCTTTTACTGTAAGCGCACCACATGTCTACACATGTGAAAAGCAGTTCGACTTTGCACTTACAAATGTGCCAGAGCCCCGTTTGGTTACTTGCACTCGCTGGTGGGGTTGGACTTTTGCAAGAATCGAGGGTCATTGGAGCATTTTTTTTTAAACAGAAAAAAAATGTCCAATGCGGGAATCGAACCGTCGTAGTGGTCGAAAAACAAACGGTTTAACCAGCCTTCCACCGACCCCCATAGGAATCGAACCCCAGTCGCCCGCGTGACAGGCGGGAATACTAACCACTATACTACCGAGGAACACAACCATCATGTCTGAGTGGAGTAGAAAGCGTCTGCCTTTGTCATTAAGACTGGGAGCACTACTCAGTGGCAAGCCGACTTAGCTCCAAAAGAAATGGCCGCCTCTGACATGAGGAACAGACACCATGTGCAGCTGCTCCTAACATGGAGTACAAACGGTGCTCATCCTGTATCTCTGGAGCCCTTACAGGGTACTATCAGCCGGGCCAGCTGAGCCCAGGTTTTTTAGTGAGCTTGTTACTGCTCCCCCTTTTTCATCCGGGCTTGGGACCGGCAAAGACGGAGTTATATACTTGACATATATAATACTTGGTAAACATTAAGGGCCATTTTACGTAAGCAATATTTACCCAGAAATTATACGAATAGGGAAAACTAGCTTTTAGGGGAAAAGTATTGAAGAAGAAAATTTGCCCGAAAGATTTGCAAATCCCCAAAACAAATAAACTCTGCCCAAAATTTAGTTTTCCTTATTCGAATAGAAATAATTACTAATACAGTAGAACTTCCCCGTAAAGGACAACACCTAATTACAGAGCCAAAGTGTCCTTTAGGGAGAAATGTCCTCTTACCGGAGAGTTACTAAATAGTAAAAATGGTAATTTTGAAAATTAAAACTGTCCTTTGTAGAGAAGTCTCCTCTAGCGTGGTGTCCGCTAAAGAGAGGTTATACTGTATGATATTTTGAATTTATTATTAAATATTAATTCATATTAATCTCCAATAGATATCATTACAGAAAAATTGCAATAAATGTTATATGTAATTATAAATTCTTTTGTAAAATGTTTCTTTATCTTTGACCGCAAGCTTTCGAAGTGTCGAGGTGTTTTTCTCATCTCAGGAATACAGTAGGTTGTTTAATTTTTAAATAGATAAACACAATGATGTTTTATCAGAAGATCTTGTGTTTATATAAATTCTACAAGGCCGCAGTCACCGTTCGGAGGAGATTAATAGAATCGCCGAATGTCGTGGTTCATTTGGATGAGGAAAGTGAAGACTAGAACACGGCTGATTCCACACTAGCCTGTTCAGTGATTCTCTAGCCATGACGTATGCACGAAGAAACGTGTGGTCATTGGACAAGCGTCGGACCTGAAGGCTGTTGTTGGGTTCTGCGCTGCCTGGAGTAAAGGAGCTCTATCTATGCTTCCTTCCTGTGGTGAATTTGACCTGGAGGATGTTGTTGGGTTCTGTGCTGCCTGGAGTATAGGAGCTCTATCTATGTTTCCTTTCTTTCTGTGGTGAATTTGACCTGGAGGCTGTTGTTGGGTGCTGCGCTGCCTGGAGTATAGGAGCTCTATCTATGTTTCCTTCCTTCCTGTGGTCAATTCGAACTGGAGGCTGTTGTTGGGTGCTGTGCTGCCTGGAGTATAGGAGCTCCATCTATGCTTCCTTTCTTCCTGTGGTGAATCTGACCTGGTGGCTGTTGTTGGGTGCTGTGCTGCCTGGAGTAAAGGAGCTCCATTTATGCTTCCTTCCTGTGGTGAATTTGACCTGGAGGCTGTTGTTGGGTGCTGTGCTGCCTGGAGTACAGGAGCTCTATCTATGTTTCCATTCTTACTGTGGTGAAATTGACCTGGAGGCTGTTGTTGGGTGCTGCGCTGCCTGGAGTATAGGAGCTCTATCTATGTTTCCTTCCTTCCTGTGGTCAATTCGAACTGGAGGCTGTTGTTGGGTGCTGCGCTGCCTGGAGTATAGGAGCTCCATCTATGCTTCCTTTCTTCCTGTGGTGAATCTGACCTGGTGGCTGTTGTTGGGTGCTGTGCTGCCTGGAGTAAAGGAGCTCCATTTATGCTTCCTTCCTGTGGTGAATTTGACCTGGAGGCTGTTGTTGGGTGCTGTGCTGCCTGGAGTACAGGAGCTCTATCTATGTTTCCTTTCTTCCTGTGGTGAATTTGACCTGGAAGCTGTTGTTGGGTGCTGCGCTGCCTGGAGTATAGGAGCTCTATCTATGGTTCCTTCCTTCATGTGGTGAATCTGTATAAGACCGGTGGTCTTAATAAAGCTGTCTTTTTAATTCGCGCTGGACAATTTCTCTTATGAAATTCCATGTCTTGATACTTTGTTTTTATCACATTGCATTAATAGAAGTTATTTCAATGTAAAAGATAAACACGCTTGGTATATAAATACTTTTACTTTTCTAATGCATCGTGTTTAAATTAACATACTTGTACGATATTTTATTGTTTATATGAAATTTTAAAAGTTTTATATTTAATAATTTCGTTTCATAAATTATTATAAGATATTTAAATTACATATCTCGATTTTTTTAAACGTATTCAATTTGAAATGGAACAATAAATGTATTTTTTTATTTGTAGAATTATCGTTTGCTTTTATTATCGAAACAATTTCACGATATCAAGTATTTTATGTAATATTTATGCAACTTTATTTGTGCGCCAGGAAATGTTTCTAAATACCTAATAACTACCAAACATATATTTTACATTTCCTTTTTGGCCAAATACTTTTCGCCATATTTAAAGTGTACATTAATTTTTGAGACAAAAACTATCTTTTCTTAATAAACACATACATAGCTTTCAGAGAAATTATTTACAACCAAGCTACTAAAGATGGGGATTGTTGTTTTTATCCCGTTTAGGGATTGAGAGAAACATATTTTAACGATTAAATTTGCATAAACACACACAAAAGACATATTAAGAAATTAGCTATAAAGGCAAAATAAATATTTTTCAAACCAAATTAGAGATAAACTTTTATCTTAGTCACAAAAGGTCGAGAATTGAATGCATATTTCAAGGTCACATGTAAAGGTCATCTATAAATATAAATTGTTTAGCAAATCTTGTCATTTAAAACAACACACAAATATAGACATTGATACACAAATATAGACATTGATACACAAATATAAACATTGCTACACTACCGGCAAACATACCTGTACATCTTTTGCATTAGCCACTTGTATAGAAATATGTTTTCAAATGACGGTATTAATTTTGCATGCGCGCGCCGCTAAATTTAAAGCAATAGTTATTTTTTTTAATTAGAGCGCCACAACCCCAATAATGAATAGTTACACTTTCCATTCATAGATGGCGCGGTAGCGCGACAATGAGTAGATTTGCCCCTTTTACTATGCAAATTAATCTGAACATCAAAAACAACTAGATTCATGTCAAGGAAGCTAAATTCACCCCCAAAGTGGAGTAAAAGTGTTGTTCCCCCCAAACTACCCGTTTGATCCCATCCCCGTCCAGTGCGGGGTATATAAGACAAACCCGACCCTAGTAGTTTACCCGAAAGGGGATCTGGTCGTTGGCGTCCGCTCCACGTTGGGTTGACTCCAGGCTCGGAACTTAGGGCCGCCTTCAACGTGGTCTCACAAATTCTGCCGCCTGGGTAACGGCTTTATTTGGGGGACATCTCGTTGTCGTGTCGGCCCTTTGTTTTGTCCTGTTTTGTCCCCCTCGCGGAGGGGACGTCAAGGCGACCTCTTCCTCTTTCGGGGTGTAGTGTAATCCGCCTCCACGTGGTGCACCCTGGGTAACGCTAAATGGATTACTGTCTGTATAGGGGTCATTTTACATCGGGTCAGGTCCAGATGGACTTTGGCAATACTACAAGCTTGGAAACACGGTCCTATACTCTATATATGGAGATTCAAACATTCCCAACAAATGATTGGTTAGATACAACTTACATAGTGTATATACTGGTACTGGAAATATTCGTATGTCGAACAAACTGTGAATATGCAAATTCAGTCCAATTTACACTCACGAACAAAACTTAAGGAAGTTGTACCTTTTAGCATGTATATCGGGATTCAGACAACAACTCTGAAAGATATTACAGTGACCTTTATTGAAGACACACGAGATAACCAATATACACTCATGGACAAAACTTAAGGAAGTTGTACCTTTTAGCATGTATATCGGGATTCAGACAAGAACTCTGAAAGAAATTACAGTGACCTTTATTGAAGACACACGAGATAACCAATATACACTCATGGACAAAACTTAAGGAAGTTGTACCTTTTAGCATGTATATCGGGATTCAGACAAGAACTCTGAAAGATATTACAGTGACCTTTATTGAAGACACACGAGATAACCAAGTGTGAATAGCCTCTGTTTCCTTCAAAACAAACAGACGACAATCACCATCAAAATAAAAATTTCTTAAGTTTTGTCCATGAGTTTACTTTTTACATCTTTACTTAATCTTAGAAATTTGTCTTTTAAAAAAATAAATCCCATATTAATAATTTCTGGTTATAAATTAACTTCACTAGGTAACGCTCAAAAAGAACAACCTAGTTTATGATATTTACAACAATGAATGATAAGTGAAGGTTATTCACATATTAAAACAAAGTGTCCAATACGGGATTAGATCTTGGTTCATGGCTGTCGGGAATCGAGGGTTTTATCCAATCTCGTCTAACGATTTCTATATATTAATAAATACTGATAAAATAATTTCAGATTTTGACTAATAGATAGCACTACATGTGTTGTTTAACATATATATGAAAAAAACAATGGAAAAGTGGGTCAGGTGTTGGTATTAAAAATAAAGAGGGCATATCCTGACCACGAGCACATGTGCTTTTTAGATGGCAGAGCGCCATCTAGTGGAGCAAAAATAAACTAAACGTTTATTTAGCTTGCTCCGTGATATTTGGCCAACCCAATTTCTTGATAAATCAAGAAAAGACATCCACGAACGCGTTTCGCGCTGTTGGCGCTCGTCAGCGTGGATTTATCAAGAAATTGGGTTGGTCAAATATCACGGAGCAAGTTAAATAAACGTTAGTTAGGATAAAATTCTTTATTTTTTATAAATATAGCTGTAGATGGAAAATTTTCCGGGAGGATATTCATCTAAAAAGACAAAGGACACCTTTCCCGTCAAAATAGACGTCAAAGTTAAACACCATCTATTGACCGTCCCCTCAAACTAGCTGCCTCAGGTCGGTGACAAAGCTACAACACCAGCTT